GGGCCGAGGGCAGGGGTAATAAAGTCAACTTAATTATAACAAAAACTAAGAGAAAGTAAGAGAAAAGGTGGGGCCTTTGGCTAACGACTAACTTTTGTGCAGAGCTTTTGTTTTCTTAATGAGTTGTGGCAGCAACAACAATAACAAGAAATAAAACTACGGGGCCAACAAAAAACAACAAACAAGCAACAACAACAATTTCATAAACTTGGCCAAAATGCATTTAAGCTGCAAGACAAGATACAAAAGTTAGAGGGGATGGGTGGAGAGGGGAGGGGAGGAGAGGAGAGCGCTGTGCATATGTTGCGTAGCGTAAGCACGTAAGCGTTGTTAACGTTACGTTATGGCGTAACAGGAGGTAGAGGAGGAGCAGTGGCAGTCAGCAACAATGGGAGCAGGAGCAGCTGGAGCTGCAGCTGCAGTGGCAACAATGGCAGAACAAACGACGCGTCGGATAACGGAAACGGAAGTTGCTTACAAGCGTAGTAAGAGTCTTACAGCAGCAGCAGCAGCAGCAGCATGAGCACCAGTAGCAGCAGATGAACACTACGAGGGGATACAGAACAGAGAAAGAGAGACAGAGAGAGAGAGAGAGAGAGAAGAGGAGGGAGATAGGGAGAGAGAAGAGTGCAGATAGAGGGTATAGCGAGTATGACTAGAGAAAGAGCGAGAGAGATCTTAATGGCTTAAGCTTTAAAATGTGTTGCATACTTTATGGCCCGTACTTTTGGCCCTTTCATCTTTCTGCCAGAGAGATTTTTGCATAGAAATTGTCATTTGTCCGTCGTTTTGGTCGCGTAGGGTAGAGTGTGGGGGTGGCTAAAGCCGGAAAAGCATCGAAAATGCAAATGATGCTTATTGGAAAATGGGCTTTTCGGATAAGAGAAGCAGAGCACAGCTCACAGCATAAGTGCGGAAGGAGGCATAGAAATGGCTCTTTAAGGGACACGAGGTTCACCCCATCATCTACTATAAATCAACAAAAGAAGTCGCACAAAAACTGGGCAGTATCGTGGAACACATTGTCAGCTCCATTGCTGGCACAAAACTTTTCATAGTTTCCACACAAGTTGCATATCTCTGTGGCGGCAGGCAGGCAGTCAGGCAGGCTGGCTGGCTGGCTGGCAGGCAAGCAAAAAAGTTGCACCACACAATTTTCTGTCCAATCAACTGTAAGCCATATTTTAATGCCATTCCATGCCGCACGTCTGTGAGTGTGTGTGTGTGATGTCTGCTGTCTGCTTTCTGTGTTTGTTTATTTGATATACACACTCTACTCTACTAGCAACACACACACACAGACACCCACATGAAGAGATACAAATACAGTTGCAGGAGACGGCAATTCCATATTAAACAGGCACTGAAAAAATATTTACAAAATGCATTTATTATCATTGCACTGTTTTCAGCGATCAGATGCGCTGTACAATGATTGCTGCTTAAACAAAAAAGAAAAAGAATGCCATTGATGTTTGCACTGCTTATACCCTTTCTTCAAGAGAGTAGCCATAAAGATAGACAAGGGAGGATAGGAGTAAGAACTCACTCACACCGATGTACCTCCGCCTGGTTAGGTACTACTTATGAGAAGCGAATAGAAGGGCGGCTAAATGCTACGTCGCCATGTGACACAAGAGAGTGTAAAATAATTATAGACATTGAAAGAGGAAAAGAGAGAATCCAGATATAAATCTTCTGAATTTTCAGAGCCTTAAATCCTTTATATTCCTTAAGAATAAATTAGCTACTTCTTTGAAAGGGTATTTATATATTTCCACCTCTCATAGCCATTCAGATGGTTGGTGTCGCACCTCTCTCTTTTTCTCTCTGTATTCACCTCTCTCGTTTTTCGCTTGCTCCCTCTCTATCTCTCTCTCTCTATCTCTCTCTCTCTCTTTGTGTGTGTCTGCATTTAATTAAGTTTTGTCGGTTTTCAAGTGTCTCTGTCGCTCTGTCTGTATCATCCTCTCATCTCTCTCTGTCCCTCTTTCCGATTACGCTGATAATTTTCATATTTAAAAAATATATATATTTTTTTGTTATGCCATAAATACTTTTTCCATTCCATTCTGTTATTTTATTTTATTTTTTTCTTTATGCTGTCATGGGCTTGCCTCGTGTTTTGCATAAAATATTTATGGCATTAAATTGAGCGTTAAAGAAGAGCATAATATTTTGTTTTTTAATGCTGGAATATTTTCCAATATTTGCGGTGGGATTTATCGCCTGATAAACCGTTTTAATATGTTTAACCATAAAGGAATTTTCGCCATAAGGTAATGTGCCTTTTGACATTTTGGTTATGGAATAGAAATATGTATGGAAAATATTCGTGGGATATATGATGTATGGGATGTATGATAATTCAGTTAAATAAATTGTGGAGTGGCTAAAATTGATTGGGGAAAACATTTAAAAGCCATTTGGGAGCAGCTGCAAACAGAGGTGTAAAAAAAGGCACATAAGGTTTCCTTTCATGACACAAAAATAATAACAATTAAGAGCGAAGCAAATCCCCTCTCCAACAAGAATCACCATTCCTCTGTTGTGTTTGTTTTGTTTTCCCTAGATATCCCGAAAGAAGAACTTTATTAATGGTATAAATGTGTAACATTAATTCTTAAAAATAGCCATGTCATTGCTTGTCGTTGTGTCAAATAAATTTTAGTTTAAATAATGCGATTAAATACTGGATTAAATATGTGGTGGGTTTGATTAAATATTTGATAGATATGTTATAGATTGATTGGTTATAGCTTCATCTTCATTTCCTCTAACATTCGATAGACTTTGATGAACTTCTTTTCCACCACCTCCGTGAAGGCCTTGATCTCATTCCGCACTACAGATAGCTCCAACGCCGCATCGGAGCTGCTGGCATCGCACTTTTTGGATGTTTTATCGCTCTCATACCAACAGGCAATGCCATCCACATAATCGTCAACCAATTCGGGTGCCGTGATGTCCTCCATGAATGAGAGATCCTTTCGCTTGACAAAGGAACTCATCAACAGCTGCAGAAAATCACAATTCCAGTTGTTCTGCTGAAAGTAGAAATACTGCAGGGCCTTCAAACTATCGAAGAGTGTGATCTTCAGCGAGTATATCGAATTGCCTGATATGTCCAGCATCTGGAGACTCGTTTGCTTCTTCAGTATACCCTCGGGCAGCTCATGGGCATTGGTTGTCGATAGATTGAGTCGCAGCAGAGCTGTGAAACGCCTCAGCGGATTCCCCTGCAGATTGCCCAGGGGATTCTGCGACAGATCCAAGCTCGTCACATTGATGGCTTGCGGTATGTGGGGTAATTCCCTCAGCGAATTGTTGTGCAAATCCAGCTCTCGCACTATCCCATACACTGTGAGCCGCCTCAGATCGCAGCTGTGGGCCACGGCGAGCTCCAGGAGACTGAAATTCAGCGTTAGCTCCTGGATAATATTGCCCGAGATGTCGAGCAGGGACAAACGTGGCTGCAGCTTCAGCAGTTCCGATTCAAAGGCCGTGAAACGATTGCGAGCCAGATTGATTCTCGTCAGATTCAAATTCTTATCAAAGATGCCGCGGGGCAGTGCCGCCAAGCGATTGCCAGCCAGATTTAGGTCCATTAGCTTTCGCATGCCACCAAAGAGGCCCAGGGGCAGCTGCTCCAGCAGGTTGTCGGCCAGGGAGAGCTCCTTCAGCTCCTTGAGGGCATGGAGACTGTGATTCGAGAGATGTTTCAGCTGATTCCCATGGAGATGCAACGTGGCCAGATTATCCGCTCCCAGGAATATATTCTTTGGTATATCTTTGAGACGATTGAGGCCCAGAAAGAGGCTCATCAGATTGCTGGCGCCCTCGAACTGCGGCTTCTCGAATGTCTCCAGCGAACAGTTCTCCATGCGCAGCATCTGCAGATCCGGAAATGTGTCAAACAGCAGATGCGGTATCTTGGCGATGCTCGAATTGATGAACGTCAGCATCAGTTGATTTGGTATGGGGGCCTGCGACAGAATCACATAATCACTGCGACCGATCTCCACATTTGTGCAGATTCCCGCATGGCAGTGATCCTGCAGCCAAAGGCGACGCAGCTGTCCCCCCGTTGCCGCTGGTGAGGCAGGCTCTGGGGCCACAAGTGGCAGCCAGCAAGCAACCACAAGTGGCAGCAGCCACAGCCACAGCCGCATGGCACCGACGACACACACACACCCGCGAGATTTTGTACGGTAGAAAGGACACCTTTGGGTTTGTTTTCTTTTTTTTTTTTGTTTATTTTTGGTGTTGTGTTGGCGTTGGTGAGCGCCCAACGACGCGCACGCCACGGCGCAAGTGGCACAACTATTCCGTAGATCAGACAACTGTCGCAGTGGTCGACCCCTTTGCGATACTGTTGTTCCTGTTGTGCTGCTTTACTGCTGTGTGGTGGCATGCCTCGGATGCGGGTGCTGGCTTTAGCAACAGCAACTCAGCAACAACAACGAAAAAAAAAAACAAAAAAGGGGCTTCGCTTCTCCCACTAATTGTGGTTTCATTTTTGTTCTTGTTTATCGTTATTTTTTGTGATTTAATTCAATTAAGAGACGGACTCCTCTTGGTTGTTCCACACACAAAATAATACTTGGGAATGGGAATGGGTTGAACTTTCAATTTCATTCGTGATTTCCACTCATTCTGGCTCTAGTATTTCTGCATTTATGTATACATATATATTTTGTTTGGCTTATTTCCCCAGTTGCTTTTATTTTGCTTTATCCACTGATGAAAATGAATGTTTTTTAAAGTAGGAAATGCCAAAAAAAAAAATATAAATAAAAAAAATATAGGGGGAGAGCTCACAGTTCTGTGATTTATATATAGCAAAAGAGATCAGCTAGAGATGATGAGAGAGTGAGAGAGAGAGAAGGGTTCGTTCTTCCACAGCGAAATTCTTCTTTGAGTAATGATTGAGATCTGCGGATAACTTGAACCTTTTCATTAGAACAGGTTCCAAATGTTGACCCACTTCCAAGCAGACACTTTAAATTAATGGCCCAAAGATGGCCAACAATTGATTGAACCACTCCCAAGAACTCTTTTTTTTTTTGGCAGATCTTATCATCGGGTATTTTTTGGGTATAAAACTGGCCACACACCAAGCGAATTCAAGCAGTTGTCCGACATGAAGCCAAGTGTACAAATATTGGGTAAGAAAACCGAACAAATCTTCACAGCAAAATAAATCCAACTAAATAAAATCCTTTCTTTCTGCAGTTCTTTTGGGTCTCCTTTCCCCGCTGATTGAGGCCCGTCTTTCGGGACTTCGTCGTGTCCATGGCTCTGGTCGCAGTGCTCTGGAGGAGCCACAAATTGTGATCTACTCCTCGCAGGGCGAACACATCAAGCGATCGGATGACGAAGAGGTGACCTTCCAGGAGCCACAAATCATCGAAGCAAAACCCGGTGCAGAAAAAGACAGTCGCAAGGTCCCCGACTATCTCTATTCGAATTCCATTCCCATGGTGAACGATCAGAATGTCAAGTATGTGGTGCCCCAAGTGGCTGCCTATCCTGTGGCCTATGGCCCCTCCCTCCTCGCCAATCAGAATCAGAACCAAAACCGCATCAATCCGGGTCTGTCCTATGTGATGGTGCCACGCGTCCAGCTGGGCTTCAATCTCCAAGGACAATCGGGCTTAAATTGGCCCAATCTGAATCTGCTGAACCCTTCGAATGGCGACTCTGCCGCCGAAAAGGAGGAGCCTATGGGACCCACTGCCTACATTCCCATTCCCGTGCCCGGGCCTCCTGGCCCGCCAGGGCCGCCTGGCATGCGTGGCCCTGCCGGACCCACGGGTCCACGTGGTCCACGTGGCCCCCCTGGCACCCCTGGCGAATCTGCTGTTCATGCTCAGTCCCAGAAGCCCTCACATAATACCCCGCAGAGCATTTGGTATACGCAGACGAGCAACAATCATAATAATAAGCCGCAATATGCTGAACACTTTTCGAATAATGGTTACCAAAGTTAAGGACTAAAACTGAATAAAGAGTGAAAAAATTGATATAATATACGGAGAATATATGGGTACAGCTGCACTTTAAATATAAAGAGCCATAAGCTGTAGCTGCAGCTGTACTTGTATTCGTATCTGTACTACTAGTAGCTGTATCTGTAGCTTTAGCTGTGCTCATATCTGTAGCTGTTGCTGTAACGAGTATGTCAAATGGTCAGCAGCACCCATAAAAAGTCGATCCATATGCTCGTGTTTGGTGTCATTTTATGGCACACTCACAGAGACACAGAGCCACACCAGAGCACATGTGGAGAGGAGCGGTTTGATGATTGTGTGTAATTTACATGGATTTTAATATCACTTTGACACCACATAAACCATCAGCAGCCATCATCTAGGGGGTGGAAACATACGAGCATACCCCCATTGCTGCCATCCATTGACGGGCCACTCAATTGGTGGACAACGCGTTTAATGCGGCACCTGACATAATGTTTGCCCTCTCTTTTGCTCGAGCACAGCCAGAGAAATAAATGGTGTCATGCCGCCCCTATTTTTGTCGTTTTTTAGAATTTGTTGTCATTTAGATTTTATTGCTTAGAGACACATATTTATTTTAGTACGAGTACGATGTATGGTTTGCCTCTTTGCCTCAATTGATACGCAGCACGCATTTGTTTCAATTAAATGAAAATGCTTTCAGTGGCAGGCATACGTACATATTTACATATGTATGAACATACATATGTGTGTGGCGCAGGAAGAGAGCAGTTCCATGGGCTTCAAGCTATGATGGATCGTTGGAAGAGCAACCACCAACCTCTTCTACAGTCAAGAAGATCTATTTTTTATCTGTACATGGCGTGGAGAAAATTAAAAACCTAAGGCTACATAAAGCAACAGAGAGAAAAATATTGTTTTGGGTGTAAAGCAAAGGAAAAAAAAAACCGAGAGTAAAAAGTAATCAAATGAGCGTAAGAAACTCCTTATTTCTTGTGTGTGGTGTGTGCTTTTTGTGTATGAATAAAATTTGAATTAAAATATTTGTCATCACTCAGTCGTTCACTCATGAGTGTCATGACAAACACCTGCTGACTGCTGCTGACTGATGATTAGGATATCTTGCATCTCCCCACTCCCTGCGCGTACACCAAGAAAAGGAGTGGAGGAACCTTCAGACCAAACGCTGAATTAAGTTAAAATGTTAATAATAAATATGATTATCGTGTTTGCCTGCTGCTGTCTGCTGCTGCCTTCTTGCCATTAAAATGATTATGCCAATAAATAATAAAGTGTGTGTGTTAAGGGCGCCAAAAGCTGGAATAAGGTAGAAATTATATTTCTGACGCGTGTTTCGTGTGTCTTAGGCAATGACTCTCTCTATCTCTCTCTATCTCTGTCTCTTTCTGGGAAAGTATCTTTTCTCTGGCAACACTTTGATGTGGTCCATGATGAGGCTGCCACGTGTCGGTATGCATAATGAGAGAAAGGTATTTTGGCATTCAAATGTAAGGGAAATTACATTTGGTTAATAAATACTCGAAGGCGTATTTTTTGGAGATGAAATTAAAAATCAGTATCTGTATAAAATACAAGAAATACCAATAAAACTATCTATAACAAATAAAACACACAAGAGCAAAAGAGCAAAGCTGCTTTAGCTCCTCCTCAAACTCCAACCACTTTATTCGCAGGCAAATCATGGCCTCTCTCCTCCAGCCATGGTATAGAAATGCTTTATTAAAAAATATCTGCAGAGAAATATTTGCCATGGAATATGAAACAGGAAGGAAATATCTGAGCATAGCGCGAAAACGAGGATAAATAGCCAAGTGTAGTGGGTTGGAGAGGAGAGGAGAGGAGCCATCACGGCGGCGTAAAAGAACAAAAGTTCTGGCTGTAATTTGCAGGAGGCAGCAGGAGGTTCAAGTCAGCGAAATGAACACTGGCCGGAACTACGGCGTTTTGCGTGCAAACTGACAATTTAAACAAAACAGCAAGCACAAGGAGCACACACACCCAGAGAAAGACAGAAAAGTAGAAACAAAAAAAAAACGAAGAACCTTTGGACAAAGATAATATTAAAAAAATATAAAAAAAAAGACAGAGCGAAAGAATGGCCCTGGGTCCCCCCCTGTAGTCCGGAATGGACTTGCAACGGAAGCGCCGGCATTTTCATGCCAGCTTTGCCACTTGCATATTTCATGAGCCGAGAAACAGCTGCAAATTTATGAAGAAGAAAATACCAAAGTGAGCAGCATCGCAATCGCCATTGCCATCGCCATCGCAATTGAATCTTTGAAGGACTAACGGAAACCTTTCGTAGGCATGCCATCTAATAGCTCTCGCACTCGATGGAAACACTCGATGATTACTTATTCATTCGTTTTTAGGCATTTGAATTTGCATTTGTAATTCCGATTCATATTTCATGGAAACCGCACACAGGACACACAGCAGGGCAGGACATTGGCTAAGTGCTAAATGAAAGTGAGCTGGTGAAATATTCATTCGTTCGGTTTCCCCTTTGAACTTTTGCAACGAGGCCTTTTAATTCCTGAAAATATTCACTTACACCTCTCTCTCTCCGGAAAGGAGCTTCATGTTTCATGGCGTTGAATGTTCTGTTGCTTACCTGTAAAGAGAGACACACAAAATGAGAAAGGGAAAAATGTAATTAGATAACGTTAACATAATTATCTGGGTATCTGGTCTTAAAGCTCTAACTGATTTATCTCCGTCCGGAGGGGGGCATCCAAGGAGAAGGGACGAAGGCCCTTCTTTAGCCTGGCATTTCATTTAGATGCAATTACAGCAGCACCACCACCACCCCTCTAATGACTTTTAATTAGCGCAGAGATTTGTATACACACAACCACATCCCCACACACACTCCCACTCCCTCTCCCTCATATGCAGTACACTTGGAGGAAGGTTCATCCTTTGGTCGGTTCTTATCTGAGACCATGTCCTCTGTTATGTGCCCCACCTGTGTATTCTGTTTCCTGTGGTGTCTGGTCGAGATTCTATTTTGTATACCCTGGTAATTGTTGGGTGCACCAGAGGGTTTGTTTGCGTTTCGGTCTGTGGAAATCAGTACCAAAAATAATTCCATAATAATACTACATAAATTACCAAATAAATAACAGAAAAATAAATATAAAACTAAAACTACGTACAAATACTATGGAATATGCATTTTTGAAGAAGACCAGCAAATACTAGAATACCAGAAAATTACCAGAAACCCATATATGACCCATATAAAATCGAACTCGCACTCGATCTTCAGCAGACTTATTTCAACCTCCTTTGAAGCACTTTTTTTCTAGGGTACATCCCATTCTATGGCTCGCTCTTCGGCTCTCTAAATCTATGGTATCCGTAGATTTATATAAGGTATTTCGTTTGCCTAACCCTTGCTTTCGATTCTAGTTTTTCTCTCGGTTTTTTTCTTCTCTCCCTCTTTCCTCCGTTCCTCCGTTTCCATTCCATTGCACAAATGACCATAAAAATGGCCCAAAGCGGAGCCGTGCTGTCGGCTCTCTCGCTGCCTTCCTGGATTCTAAGGCCAAAAGCTTAATTACCATTATACATTCACACACACACACAGACACACATAATCAGCACACATACTATACACATACTCGTACACATTCATTCGCAGAAGCAGTTTAGCTTTCGTTCTCTCTCTCCCTCTCTCTCGCTCTGTCTCTATTGTCATTATTATTCATAACTTGGCAGACAGTCGCTTTTATTTATGTTCCCATTTACACAATAGCCTCTGTGCCATGCGACGCCCCCTGCTACATACACACACACACACACACACACACACACACTCCTCCCTTTATAAACCGCCCCCTAATAGGTGTTAATGTGTTTTATTGTTCTCTCGGCAGCCAGGTGAAGGAGCAAGCAAGCAAGCATTGGACTTCTGCACAAATAAATGAACTTGACTTTCTGTGTGCAATGAGACAGAAATCTTAATGGAATTACAAATCTGTGAGTCTTTTAGGTCAAGGGGGAAAACCCGATTGAAAAGGACTGCCAAACGAGGGAAAAGTGTGCAGAGTATTAACTAGACAAAAGAAGAGAGAGCGAGACAGATTAGAAAGTGGAGAATTAAATTCTTGCTTGCTCTTTTAGCTCTCTGTGGGGAGCACGAAAATTTCCCTTTAGTGGTAGACACAAAAAATCATTTCGACAAGTGTCAATCTGATGTCGCACTACACTCAAAGTTGAGCATGTGTCTCGCTCTCTCTCTCTCTCTATCTGTCTCTCTCTTTCACTAACTATCTTGCCATCTCTATCCAAGGGCTCTAGTACATGTGTTAGTGGCAAAAATGCTTTCATTACGCTTCAAGTGGGGAATGCCGAGTGGGCCACTTGACGTTGAACGCCACGATGATGTTGAAGCTGATGCCAATGTGTGTGTGGCATGGCATGTGTGGCCATGAACGAGACATAGAAACAGTAAGAGCGAGTGAGGGGTGTGATGGGGCCAAAAAGAGAGAGCAAGCATGTGGTGTATTGTAAGGACAGCCTAAAAATATGCAACATATTTTCCATGGACTCTTAGTTTTGTATGCCCTTCAAGAAGAGTGATTGGGATTTTGATTTTTAAAGGGGAAGTTAACCTTTTCGATGCTTTCAAGTATATTTAATATTAATCCAGATTAATAGCAGAATCAATATATATCCATACATATATCCTTAATAGAGCTCTATTGGCTTTTGTCCCTAAAAATCTTTCATTTTTATCTGATATCTGATAGATAATGTTCGCATTTTGTTGGTTTTTTCATCATAAAAGTCACAAATGATTATATATTATAGCCAGCCTAGACGAAAATGAATCTCAAAGAGTATCTCATCGTTCGTTAGACACTTTTCATATATTTTTTTTTGCGATTTTTCTAGTGCCAAAATGACTAAGCAAGTACGTTATAAGCCCCAAGTGCTGAAAGCAGGCTAAGGTCAGCGGCAAGTTCAATAAAACACACACGCACAGG